GAAATGGTTTTATTCAGTCTAATGTACATACCTCTTTATCCCAATCTGTTCGATACGTAACGTAAAGTAAGATCAATGTTTGCATGAGAGTACCTCCAATCATCCCAGTCCATATTCCCTACAAACAACAATATCAATATATCATATAACTATCCCTTTATTATATAGATAATAAACCATATCTTATACAAACAAACATTAGAAACAAACCTTTGCTTGAAAATCGAATGTGAAGCCAAGAACACACCCAAGTGGAATACCAACAATATAGTAACAACCCACATTCACATATGCCACGTATGCTTGCCATCCACATCCCACTGCCACTCCTGCAAAAACAATATATCAAACCGATATTTTATCAAACCCGGTTCGGTTAAGTTACGCTTGGTTTTCTTCGGTTTAAATTAGAAATTATAATGCGTATACCAGACAAGACGGGCTGAATTCCGTTGAGAATGATGGTAACGGCAAGGAAAGGACAAAGGTCGGAGACGGCAACCGCCACGTCAGCATCCGCCGTGAAAATGTAGCTAATGTAATCACGTGACATCATCACGGCGATTGCTTCAGCGACGGAGATTACGAAGGAAACAAAAGTCGCCGTCCATGTAGTGAAAAACGCCGATCTCGGATTCCCTGCTCCAAGCTCATTACTTGTCCGTACACTGTCACAATATTTTTCTTTATTTATTTAGTATGTCTTATTATAATTTCAGTAACGTTGGTTAATGATTTTAAATTTATTAAGAAATATTACTAACCTTGCAGCTGCGTTGAAGCCGACAGAGACCATGAAGGATATTGATGAAAATGACATACTGTCAAGAATATAAATGTAAGAATAAAAATTAACATGTGGTTAAATACATATTGTAATCGATACAAAAAAAAACAAAGTTCACGTGTATTTCTCGTTTATACTTCTTTTGGGGGTATAGATTAGTGAGATAATTGCATCTAAAAAGGGTCAAGATCTAAATCAAGAAACGGTCCTAAGTCCAGACAAAAAAATGATACTAATTAATTTGTAATTTTACTTTAAAGGACTTACCAAATGGAGAGAGAATCTAGAGAGAGAGCCGGTTGTTTGAGTAAACCGGCGAGAAGAACCAAAATCTGAGAATACCACATTTCCAGACAAATCATAACAGCAGATCCAGCAGAGAGTTTAAAGAAGCTCCAAAGACCTCGGAACGATGCCCAGCTCAGACCAGTCCACGTGTGTCTAAACCTCGGACTCCATGTAATATACAAACATTGGGCCCCAACAATAACCCACCACGAGATGGTTAAAACATAAGCAATACCCATAAGGCCCAAGCCCATTACGTAAACAGCAGTCCACGTCAGCAAAATCTGGAGTAATAGAGCGGCGCCTGAGATATACGCGCTAGGAATCACAACGCTTTGGGCCTGGAGAAACTTTTGGGCCGTGAAATTAATGGCGTAAGCAAAAATCTGAGGGATAAGTCCAGCGATGTATAAAGATGCCATGTACGACACCGTTTTGGGTTCGCCTAATAGGAGTAGAATCGGGTACGAGAAGGTGTATAGTAAGGTCATGGGCAAACCCACTAAAGCAAGGACAATTGTTGCTCTTTGGAGATAGATCCCAAGCATCTCGTATCGACGGGCTCCATATGCTTGTCCACATAATGTTTCCACTGCACTGCCCATACCTAACTGAAAATGGAAACAAATGTTCAACATAATGACAAAATCGTACTAACTATGTACCTTTAAGACGCACATCGTATATCAATTTTTCAACGCATTAATGTAAAAACAAAAAAAATATATATAAGTTTGGTATACTGGAAAAATGGATATTATTTCTAGATTTCCGGGTGGGGTTCGATGAAACTAATAAATGAATTTGACTTGTATAAGAAATTATTATTTCTAAATTTGGTGGGAAATGTAAAACATTTTAAAAGAATAAAATAGTACAAGCTGTAGTCCTTAATCGTAACCGTAATTTAATGTTCAACACACTACACGAGGGTAATTTTTTAACCTTTAAACTTTTCAACAAATCATCTTTGTGGTCATTAAAGTTACCTCACTAAATTAACCCCCAAAAAAATGACCTCACTAAAAATGCTTAATCGTGTCAAAACATCAAAAATCAAATGTAATCTTTTTAGCGCGATAGCAATTTTCAATCTTTAAACTTCAACTAATCATCTTTGTGGTCACTAAAGTTACCTCACTAAAAATGCGAAATCGTGTCAAACATCAAAAATCAAATCTAATTTTGTTTTGTTTTCTAGTCAACAAGGTGGCACTTGTTAATCTTAAAACTTCAACTAATCATCTTTGTGGTCATTTAAAACTTCACAAGAAAATGGGAAATCGTGC